GAACAGTTAATCCGATGTCGGAGGAGGCACTTTGCACTGGTCCTTGCCCCGTGGCCCAGCCCAGTGTGCAGACTGACCGTCTAACCCAACAACCTTTGCTCTGAGGGCCCTCCGCCTGGGGCAGGTCAAGGGGGTTTGGGGTCTGTCAGGACAGCCCAGGCAGCCCCACTACCCTGTGTGGACTCTGTGTCCTTTCTGTCTCCACCCTTTGATGCACACCCCCCAGCCCCCCAACACCGCCAGGGTGTGACAGTTACATAATCTCCTGTCAACTTGCAAAGGGGTGGAGTCTAGCTTATTAATCAGGTCACAACTTGATGATCTCATTTGGAGGCGCCACAGAGATAAATAACTCACTGGAGGCCAGATACATACACTCTGCTTTGTCTTCCTGCTGATGAGACACATGGAGCCACGTTGGAGCCCTGGAGCTGGAGGAGCCACGTGGAGACCCCTGTCAGCACTGAGATGCTTCCACTGCCACTGGATCCACAAGACTTCCCACCCACTGGCCTGTGATCACCCTGCATTTGGCGTCATTGCATGTGTTGTGTGGGTCTAAGAGGAACTTATAGATTGGTATCAGACATATGGGCTAATATGGTACTTAAGGACTTGATCTGCACTGGGCTGGGAGGTTTTCTCAATATTCAATTACTCTTGATATAAAGTTTTTTTCCTATACATAGATGAGTCTCCCTGGATTTGTTTCTCTTGTCAACCCAGTCTAACACATAGGGTTTGGCCATGCTGCCCTTCCGTGTGCTCAGGGCCCCCGCATGCAGGGAGGGAGAGGTCACTGGGATATCAACATGAATGTCAGGTGTGGACAGTCAGCTCCTTCACGGTCATCACCTGTGACCCCACCTGGGAGACCAGGTCCCACCCAGCACTGCCTGTGCCAAGACCACCTTTATGACTTTGACCTAGGTGTTCCCCTCAGGCCTCTGTGGGTCCCAGGTTGGGGAGGGGCGGGGACTTGAGGGGGCAGGGCTGGGCTTCAGAGCGGCTGCTTGGAGCAGATGGTCTGACAGCTGGGGCCAGGGCTTAGCTCCCCTTGATCAGGAGACTTAACTGGCTCCTCTCCAGATTTGCCACCAGGGCTAACTCCTCCCTCCTTGTCCCCACCAGCCCACCTGGCTCCGATGCTGGATGCCCTCTCCTCTCTCATGGACCTCATCCTCAGCAACCAGGCTGCAAGCTCAGCCCCGCTCCCTTCATAAAGCCTGCCTGAGGGACCCCTCCAGTCGTCTCAGCCCCAGGTTCAGGTCCCCTGGGATTTGTACTGCCTCCCAAAAAGCCTTTCTACCACTGACGGGTCCAGCAAGCCAGGGAAGCACAGGGGTCCCCTCAAACTCTGTGTCCCAACCTCCTGGCCTTTCTCCCTCCACTGTCCACCACCAAACACTCCCGCCTTCCACATCTGTGTTTGAGCCATGTCTCACCTGTCTTACCCCCCAACCTCCACCCTGGCCTCTCTTCTGTGGTCCAAATCCTCCCTCCCCTCCGAGGTCCAGCTCAGGGATCACACCCTCCAAAGCGTCTCCAGCTCCTTCTCCCGTGCCAGCATTTTGGGTCAATGGGCCCCTCTCTTCCTGGGGCCCACAGCATGCAGCTCAGTGACCTCGGTCAGCTTCACGGAGTGGCGAATGACCGTACCCCCAGACTGAGCATGGCTGAGGTGAGTATGGGGAGCCAATTGATAGAAAAGGGCACCGTGGCTGGTCCAACAGGGTTAGCCACCATGGGGGAGGCTCTCAGGGAGATGACCCAACACCACCGCCGCACCGACGTAGCCGTCACAGCGCAGTGGGCACAAGACTGGGCGGCATGTTGACCTGTGGTTCACAAGGTCGCCATGAGTCTCGGTCAACTATGAGAAGAGGGGACAAGGGCAGCGCTAGGCACAGACCTCCTTCAGCTGCCTGGGCAGGAGGATCGTTCCCTGCTTTCAGGCGGATCTGAGGCTCAGGGAGGTGGCATCCTTTGCCACCAGCTGCAAAGTGGTGGAGCTGAGATGGAATCCCAGGTTCACGGGGCCCCCACTCTTGGAATTTGAGCAGCCAGGAGGTCACCCGGCACTGCATGCTGACGCAATCGTCAGGTGTGAGACTCGAGAGCTGCTGGCAGGTGCGGCCAGGGCTGGCACAGCGTGCGAATTAGCGGAGGTCCCGGAGCAGGAAGCACCTGATGTTGGGCAAAATGGGTTGCTGGGCCCGAGCCAGGCAAGGCCACTGAGGACCTTGTTGTGATTCAAACAGAGGTTTCCACCTGGAAGCCCCAGCCGCATTCCCTCCTCTCCCACATCAAGATGGCTCGGTCTTCTCCCCAGCAGGCTCTCCGATGGGGACCAGGGGGTGCAGACAGGAGGAGCCTGCCGCTGCCAGCACCCACTGTTTGGTGACTCATGGGATGATGAAACTTAGGAGGAGGAGGTTCGAGAAGGCAGCTGGCTTGGAAACTGATAGCACCCTTCCCAACAGCCTGCCAGCCACCTTCCCTAGCTGCAGCAGAAGCTATAAAAAGCACAGCCCTTCAACAATAGGTGACATCACCCAGAGGCGGAAAGAACTGGATTCTGCCAGATGCCAGAGAGAGTTACAGCCCCAGCCCCTCCCTCAGGATGGGAGCCCCTGGGAAAGGGCTTGGATATGCTCCCCTAGATCCCGAGGGATGGGGGTTAGGGCTTCCTTGGACTCTGGGGCTGGGGGAGGGGAGGCTGACTTGAGGGAGACAGATTTTTCTGGAATGGGGAATTTGGAAAAGGACTTT